CAAATCACCTATTACCCAAATTCCCGTCAATATACTGGCGTTCCTAAAAAAAATTATAACTGCTTAACTAATAAAGCGAACATGTCATGGCGATTAGACATTGTGCTCCGCTTTTTCTATATTAAAATATTATTTATACACCCGTTAAGAACAGTTCTGGAAAATTACTCCTAAACGAAGTTATTGTCTCTATTTCCCACGAGACTGTCTTCGTTTTCCTGCCATATGGACGTCTTCTTCTGCCTGGACCTGAAATGAATGTGAATATAATTTTGGATCCATTTAAATTCTGTTGTTACTATATTATCATTGTAATAACTGTCAAAAGGTTAATATTAAAAGTTGCCATTCCTTGCTATGCCATTCGACCGCTACTTCCTAAGTTTGGAAACTTTCACAACTCTTTTGTTAAAAGTTACCACCGCGAATGGAGCGATATTTGCCAAACTTTGAAGTAAATGGTGGTACTGGAAATATAAAAATGAGATATTCACCGGAACTAGCATACTGTGACATTTGGCAACTTATTACTTCAAATTATAATACCAATAATGTTATAATGTTATATACCTATAATAGGCGCCATGGCCTAATGGTTCATCGTGTCGACATGTGGTTAAAAACTCATGAGTTAAATTATCTTTTTTGACTGATTCTCCGGTGATGAAAACATAGGTAATAAATCGCTGAAACAATTCGAGGAATGGAATTTGGAAGGACTTACGGAGCGACTAAAGGCCAACTCCCGCCAGACGCATACAGATACGGTTTATATCTGAGGGCACCGCCGAATAAATACCTTTTATTCGAATTTCCTGTAATAAAATACGTATGTATGTAATAAAATAGACTTCTTACAATTCAATTCACATTAGTTTAATTCTAATATAACACAAGATACATTATCGTATTAAAATTTTATATAAATTTAACTGAATGTAAAGTTATAATTGGATAAGTTCAGAAGCATATTCTGAGGTATTTAAGTAACAATAAGAGGGAGATTTATAATTTTGTCGTATAATATGACAAAGTTTTGTTAATTACATCGACTTAATTTAACGCTACGTCATTGTTCTAGCAATTAATTAAGTATTACCGACATTAACGAATATTACTAATGAATTTTTGCAAATGCTTATTGTTGGAATTTGGTATTTATTGATACTAAGTACTTTACATACCTATAACAGAAATTAATTTAAATCAGAAATATAGAATATTCTGGAATAAATTTAGACAGTTTACACAAGCATAAAATGTATATTCGTTAAATATACTTTTATAGAGTATTATGACGATAATTTTTGTCTAAAATGTATTATATATTAAAAAGAAAATTCAAATAAAATTATATTATTAAAAATAGCAAGCTTTGTGTTTTGTTTCCTTTATCAAAAAGATTATTATTTATTACATATGTATGTTATATAATTAATCCTCCAAAAATGAACAGATTTTAATGATTTCAATGACATCCTTTTTTTACTTAGTAGACTGTCATGCCCAGCGGTGGGAACGAAGGGAAAACACTAATAACGGTGATGACGGAACTGTTATTAAAATCCAACGTGACAATTTCCCAGAGACCACGGTAAAACCGAAGACATTAAAAAGAACACGCCTATAAAAACTTATCTCTCTCGATAATAGATATACGTCCAACTTTTATTGGCCATTAATATTTTTACTGTCGAAAAACCCTCATTACAAACAAAATGCTAGCAAACGGACCCTTTTGCTAACAATCATCAAATTACAAGGACATATTTCGGAGCTTGTTATCACTGTTATTAAAGTTCGAAATGCATTAACAATTGTTAACTATTGTATGCTCAGGTAGTGGTATCATTAGTAATACTTTAACACCTGTCTTCACTTGTCCTGTTCAATACATATGATTGAAGCTTCATTTGTATCAGTTAGTGTCCAACACTGGAAGAGACTAGTCAAACTGACAAATTATTTATAATTCACAGTGTCCAATTGTTCAATTGTTTTGTGAAAGAACCGTGTGAAGTGAAGAGTTTATTTTCTCAGGATATATTATATACCAGGTACTTTTGAACAAATTATTGATCTTATGAATGTTTGATTTCCAAAATTATAACTTACATACATATATTACAATGGTTTTAATATAGTAATAATTCAATAAATTATCAGATCTTTACTATAAATTTTAGAGATTAGATGTTTTCAAACTCAAAAGCTTGTCGAAAGTTAAACAATTCTATTAGTTATAAACTAAAATAATCATGTATTAAGTAAAGTATTAATATAAATAAATAGAGTTTTATGTAAACTGAAATTAATAATTAAGTGGTGTTGTTAAATGTGTAGGCTAAGGTTTCCAAATTTCATCGGGTGGCATATGAGCTTATCAGTGATCATGTCTACTTACAAAAAAAAATGGATAAATATAATTTAAAGTTTAATTATATTATGCAGTCTATTTATAAAATAACTTATTAAAATTGGTCGGAGCTATTCGCTGTTTTACATTATGCGCCCAAAGTTAGACCCTTAGAAGTTTCTTTTGCCGATATCAAGTTAAAGATATAATTAGAAGTTAATATATTAAAGATATTAAACCTATAACGAAAATTTGCTATCTATTTCAAAAGTAAGTAGAACTTGTATTGTTTGTATTAATCTTTTTTTTTTGTACATGCATACCTCCTTAATATAAATATAAAAGACTCTGACTAATACAATCAGAATGGGTAATAGACAACGATATAAACAGTTGTTTTTTTTTGTAAACGCACACAGAATATGAATATGTATAAAACTTTCAGGCAAATACAAACAAACACACTCATATAAGTAATAAACATACAAAAATTGTAACCAAAATTAAATCATACTTCCGAGTATATACATAATAATAATAATGTAAATGATAAACATTGATAAATGAAACTCAATAAATAAAAATTGTATAATAATAATTATTTAACTTTTCTCTTTTTCACATAATTCTTGGAAAAACTCGAAGCTACGTAGGATGAAAGCATCTATCATACCTAATTCATAAGTCTTCGTCCAACAGCATTGTTCGGGGAAGACTTATGAGGTTTGCATGATGGTACGTCGGCTGAATAGGCTATAGGTAAATTGCTCATGTAATTTAAGATATTCTTTTCTATAAACCATCTAATAGAGGAGCGTTGTGCAGGCAAAACTAATTAATTTTAATAACCATTTTCATAGTATAAACGCCAAAGTGTATGTTTGTTATCTTTTCACGATTGCCTGAATAGAATGTAATATATTTTAGATATAAAATGTATAGTATAGCCTATATGTGGCAGAACATAGGCTTTAGTTTAAAAAAATTCAGCGTAATTGCATGTGACCGATAGATTTTTTATACATATTTATTTATTCAACAACTATTGCAGCTTCTTAGTCAGGACTGCTTGCTGACCCAAGCGGCCAGCAAGCAGTCTAAAACACATAACTACGACAGACAGAACAATTGACTATAGACTGATACGACAAATACGATGGACGGTGGAGAAATTAGAGAATATATTTGATTATCAGACACATAATAATCATAATAAACCTAGACAATTCACTGAACATTATCTAACCTCAAGCTAAGTAAAGCTTATGTTATAGATAGTAGACAACTTATAGAAATATATTTTTTTAATAAATATATTCATAATTTACATAGAATAAACACAGGCCATACAAACAAACACTCATTAATACAAATGTAAGCACCATGCTAGAAATCGAACCCGCGACAATCAAAATATATATGTATAACTCAAAGGTGACTGACGTAGTGTTCTATGAACGCACAACCAAACCACTAGACGGATCGGCCTGAAATTTGGCATGCAGGTAGATGTTATGACTTAGGCATCCGCTAAGAAAGGATTTTGTTAAATTCCACCCCTAAGGGGATAAATTGAAGCGAGTTAACCGTGGGCAAAATCTATATATATAAAGCGCTGTGATAAATCACAACGCGGCAATAAATAATATGAGTTTGTTGTACTACACATAGCATAATTTTATCTATCTCCATGCCGAATTTCATTAAGATCCGTTTAGCCATTAAGATATGACGTAGTAACAAACAGACAGACACACTTACGCATATATAATATTAGTATGAATTCATATTCATACTAACCATTTAGTAACAAAGAAACTCACTTTCTTCACAATCTTAAGATAAGGGTCACTTTATATAATAGACAATGAAAAGAATCAAAGATAATAAAGCACACGTTTTGTTTCTAAATGGACGTACCTACATACGTGTAGACAATAAGACAATGTTATTATACATCTACTGGTGTATAGTTGAATATGTAAACATAATGGCATTCAGGGAATAAGTCTAATACTAAATACCACGTGTTATGTATTAATGCACTATTCATATTAATAATACCTAAAGTAAAGGTTGACGGCTCCATAATATTAGTATTAATACTGTTAAAGATACATACTGATATAAGGAGCGAATGTTTGTCTATTACTTCGTTATATTTTTATAACTTTGAATGCTCTTTATTTAATTGAATGCATATGACTAAAGAGCAAAGTTTTATTACTTGCTAAACGATTACTTGAATGACGAGCGTGTATGACAATAGTTGTTCATATAATTTTCATATTAGACATTGACAGCTATGTAAGTAAATGATGTAAATAAGTTGATTTAAAAGGAAAAAGAAATTCCATTGACTTTCATCTAGTTCTTCACAATTGAATCTGTATACTGGACTGGATGGATATAGTTTCCGAACAATAATTAGTTATCATATTATTAATGATCTGTAATGTTCTAAAACAATTAAAAATAGATTTTGCGTACTCCAACCTAATTAGTTGGTGTAATAGATTTACGTAATTGAGTAGAAATAATGGCGTCCGGATGATTCTTAATGTTCAATATATTTTTTATACTCCCTTGAATATAATATATAACTAACTATTCGTTTTTATTTGTTACAGTTGGAAAAAGCAACATGTCAACAAATGTATCAAAACAAGATTTCCTACAACCAACAACATTACAGGAGGCTATAAACATAATAAAATTTTTAACCACAACGCATAAATTGGAAATCGCAAAATTAAAAGAATCACACGCAAAACAGGCAGCCGTGATAAGAAAGTTGGAAGAAAATAGAAAGAAAGAACTAGACTTTCTGTCCGATGAACTATCTAAATATGAATCAAATTTAGCAATAAAAACGGATGCTATAAATCAACAGCTAGCCCAAAAAGATGATATCATTCAACAGCAATTAAAAACAATTGAAGATCTCAACATGAGGATAAAGATTCAAAACGAAGTTCCTGTACCTGAAATAATCATTGATTCCAATTCTGATTCCGGGATCGTTCTAGAAAATGAGGATAGTCCTAAATCTGAAGAAGCTAAAATTGAAACTAAAACAAGAAAATACAGCAGACGGTTCGGAGATCCCATTGGTTTTCTACGTAGAGTTGATTTTTCTCCAATTAAATATAAGCCGTGTAATCGGGATAATAAGAAAAAAGGAGAAAAGAAAAATAGCCTAGAAGTGCCAGTTGTAAATAAGCGACATTTCTTCAGACAGATTAGTAACGACAGACCGAGTGATGACGAAAGACTCGCTTACGATGATTCAATACTTTCCGATAGCACTCTTGACACCGCAGAAATAAAACCAAAGAAATTAAATGATAGCATGACCAATCATTTTTCTGATGATGGAAGTGATGATAGCGAGGAAGTGTTTGATAGAGTTATGACGAGAAGCAGTATCAGAAAATCTAAAACAAATCCGAAATACAAGAAAATTAATAGAAATAAATCCAAGCGTCTGGAGCAGGTGAAAATTAATATAATAGATTAAATACACCAAGTAGTATTAAGTGATGGATATACTTACTAATAAGTACCATAATAATATTTAGTTCACATGATATGAACGATACACAAAGAGACATTTATGATGCTCAATAAAATTAAAGTATTACGTATAAAACTCCAAACAATTAATTAAAGATTTTATACTGTTTAAATATTTGTTTTTATTTAGAATTTATAATATTTCCTATAAGTAGTTGCAACGTTTTCTTAAAACGGTACTAGCCGACCTTCTTTTCTATTCTCTTTAGCTAAATCTCCTTTCCTAAATGTGATAGAATAAAATAATTAACTATAAAATATATAGACTAAATAAAGCAGAATAAAATCTTCCCTTAAGGTGTGAAATAAATTTCTGAACAATTCAATACGTCACCGACTACTTTATTATAGAAATAGAATTATATTCTTTATTTAAGTAAACTCAAAATTCTATCACTCATACGGAACGCATACTCATCACAAAAAGTATCAGTAGAAACGAATGAGTATTATTACTATTTTTAATTATTACTAAAATAATAGAAACAGTTGTATGGATACTCCAATTACTATATTTGTTTAATTATCTTTGTTCGACGGCGATGTAAAAATGTACCGCTAGTTTGTACATATTATGATAATTTTGAGAACTCGCTTCAGTGTATTTTCTTAAAAAATACTCCTCATCCAAGAATATACATGCAAGGTCATATACTCAAACAGAATGCAAACATTAGGCCCCAGATCAAGAGGTCGGAAGGGTAGCTGTAAAAATAAATCATGCTCGATTTGGGAGCAGCCTAATAAATAATAGTGAAGTTCGAGCCACTCCTGGAAAAATATTTATTTAGTTTGTTTATAAACAGTACAGTCATTTCAGTTCGGCTCGGTGCTTCGAATAAATATACTTTTATGTTATAATTAACTACCGACGTTGATCATCGCCCACTGTATGTTTATTTGTGTGCCAATTAAATTATTATAAATAGCTAGGGTATTATTTTAAATACATAAATGAAATACATTCCCTGAATCACTGTGTTGAGGAATTTTATTATTGAGGTGTAATACACAGAAGTCAATAAAGACGGAAATAATTTAATAAAAAGCCCAACCAATTACGCAATGCTATCAAGAACAAAACTAAACCACTTACATAATTCACACCTAATCCAGTACAACCATCATACAATAGTTAACAGATCGAAACTGCAACCTTTGAAATATGAAACAGTGTTTTAAATCTCTACACTATGTAGATTGCTATTTAAATTCCTACATAAGTATAAAATAAAGAAATAATATTTGATTTGATCAGAACATATATAATACAGTGTTCATACTAATAAAATGACATAGAAATATATATATAATGTAATATAAAATATATATGATCCAAATCATAATTATCTTACTTTGTCTCCAAAGGTAGTCTGAAAGCGATAAGTGGTTCTTTTTTTATAAATTCATGTATATTTATTATTTTAATTATTTTCAATATCTGGTGCAATAAAAAGTATGAATAAATAAAAATAAAATAATTTATACATAATATTTTTCCAATGATACCGCAATTACGAGTATATTACAAAAATAGCAAATTAACTTTCAACCTGAAAAAAACATAATATAGATGTTACATTTTATTTAGTTTCGAGTTGAAAGTTATGCAATAAAAAAATGGTGAACAAACTGCAAAGGGCAAACAGTCTCAGGACTCATATTGTATTATGGATGATAATAGAATATACATCCGCTGGTGCTAATGTTTACACTGGCGGAGAACTAGTGGAGGATCATAAGATGAGCATGAAATCAGTCCAGTTATATATATATGTCCTATCGTGCCCAATTCACCAGTAATCGGTAGTAAAGGTTTCCAAGTGGTGTGGACAACCGGACATGGTACACTGCTAGAAATGGGGTTATTATTTCACATTATTAACAATCCCTTTTCCTTCTAGTCCTAATTGTTAAGTGACAATTATAGGCTATATGTAATAAAAATAAATATTTAAATATTAAAACAAAATTAAAAATTTCATCGTGTCATACCAAAATGGTACTTATATTTAGTGATAGTACTAGGTGAGACAGGGATACCCACGCAAATAAATTTGTACTATGACTAACTGGGTCAAAATACTGACTCTAAAGATTTTAAAATACTTTAGCTTACATCCAACAATTGCGGTGATATATTGGTTCCTACAGTACATAAACTTTTGTTAGCGATAATACTACAGTTTTAAGAGTACAAACAGCAGTATCCATACGCTTCATAGATCCTGATAGCCAATGGACCGTATAATGCAGAAGGCGACAAGACGGCAAAGTTTTCAGTTTGTCTCGCATGAAGATCAAACTTTCCACTATACGCTTATTTTGTATGGAGATCACACTTCAGTTCACTTGTCGATGCAATACACGATATTGTAGTGAATTTTAGAGGTAATTGTAATAAAAATAAAGATAGTGCTATCAGAGAGTGCGTAAAGAAAATGTTTATTGTTATGTTTATTGTGTTAATTTAAGACAATTGAAGCTATTTCAGTTTAAAGTTACTTTAGAAAGTTATTGAAGTCTATTCAGACTCTACTAAACTGTTATTATTAGATTATACTAGTAAATATACGTTTCATTTTATTAATAACTAATATTACATTGTTTTTAATTTTACAATAATATAATCTTACTACAATAAAATTATATTATTATACTATAATGAAAGTTCACGATTTATAAAATTTAAAATAAAAAAAAAATATTTATAAAACAAGAGTTAAAATTCGGTAACAAACAAAAACGTAATAAGCTATTGTTATTCTGAATAGTATAGCGCACAGGTACAACAACAACAATTGCAGGTTCATCTATTATATTACTACCATATAGTCATATATTATCTGATTAAAAAAGCCTTCTCTGAATCCTAATGAATACGCAGAATACTGGCCTTAATCAAGTCTACGGGGTAATCTTTATACAAAATGTTCTCTATCTACCTTCACGCCAGATTTCTAACGAGGTAGACAGAGTGTACCAAATGCCATGCAATTCCAATGTGGGATCACTTTTTGAAAATGTTTCGATAAATAGATATTTTAACGAAAGATATTATATGTTTTTATTCAAATTACCCAACGTTATGGAAACTGGGCTTTATATCACCATAATGCGTTTTATTTTTCGTCATAAACGTTAATGTGTAGCTACAATATGTCATTCTAACAAAATAAATGTGAGAATTTTTCAGCAAAATTGCTTTTTTCACCCGTACGTATGGCTAAATGCTGTTTGCATGAACAAATAGCTGCTATCAAGTGAGATGACGTCGAAGATTTGTTCGTATTAGCGCATCAACGATGTCATATTTATTGGAAAGGATTGAATTATATTCTATAAATAACTTAATCTCTTCAGAGACATTAAAGTTACTTTCAGCCGATGAATGGAACTCATTGAAATAAACAAATAATCCTGTAATAAATCTACCCAATAAACTTTAGTTCCAAATCAAGCAGACCTTATACTACGGGTACTAAACAATAAACTATATAGTAGTAAAAAACTAATTACTTCTTTTTAATTTAATAACTTCTAATAATTCTTTTTATTAATTTTTCTTCTTAAAGATAAGACCTAAAGCTCAACCAATATTCTGGTGTAGGCCTCCTTCGTCTCCATTGTATTTTATTTTAAGCAATTGATGTCCAGTTGACCCCGCTACAGCAACTACATATATCAATAGTTTCTGTGGCAGGGCACAACTAGACATCAATGAAAAGGTAATTTTTCCACCTCATCTGTTGCCTTTATTAATTCCTTTCATTTCCTTTTTATAACCTGTTTTTTTTAAATAAACTCATGATATTGTTTACTTATATACTATTTATATAGATATGTAACATTAATATTTGAAACTCTTTATGTGATATCAATAGTTTCTATCGCGGGGCTCATCTGGACATCAATGAAAAGGTGATTCTTTCCACCTCTTCTTCTCATCATTCTTCTATATTTCTTTACTTTAAAAAAATACTTTTTTTGGAAATAAATTCATATTATTTACATAAAAACTAACTAGATATATAACATTAATATGTGTGACTGTTTGCAGTTGAGTTTATGCCAATAAAGGTTTCACAATACAAGTAACGAAGTTTTTGGTACAAATAAAATTTCCCCAAATGTATATATTGTTCAGTGAAGTTTATGTTTTTGGCAGCTTATATTCAATCTTCAGTAAACTTTACATAATAAATTTGAAATACGGGGTATACACAAAGAGGTTTAAATTTATTTGAAACCGTTCTGACACTATATGTAAATATAGATGTATTTTGTATGATGTATTTGATTCAAAAGTTAGACGTTGATATTATTTAACATTGTTATAGTATTATTTTGTCAAGCAAATTAATACTCTATGGCTATTTACTGTATGGCATACGAATCAGAACCAAAACATACCGTAACAGAATCTGAACATACTCTTTAACAGTACCTTCAATAAGACGATTTTACAGATACTGGTACCAAAAATGTAAAGTCGGTAACTCCTAATACTACCAATATTAAATGTGCTCTTGTTTAGTATTTTGAATAAACTATAGATGTTAGAATTCGCTATAATTTTTGCCTTAGGTAACTTGAAGAGTATCTTCCTAAATTCCGAGTAAATTTCGATTTGGAGTTGTTGATTGATATAGTTAAGGTATAATTATCTCCTTAAAAAGTACAAGAGGATGTAAAATCTCTTAAAAATATCTTAAAGCATAATTTTAGGAATTAAACAAATCAAACAGGATGTAGTAAGTGTATCAAACTTCATAGTTCTTGTACTGATAACGTGTATACCAGTACTATTATTCATATATATACTACTAGGTGGGCTTATTTACCTTTCCAAATCAAAAACGAATAATAAAATAGTTACTAGAGATAATAATTGTTAAGCATTATTATTTGATATAAAAGCAGTTGTTAAGCTACCATTTTCCT